AGTAAGTCATTTAAACTCTGTAGACATCATTTTCTTCATTAATGAAATGAGAGGTTTAGACCAGAACCTGTGGTAAATAAATGTTTGCTGGTTTGTGAACTTGGTTGATTAAATAATCTCAGAGATCTATGAAGGTGTGTGTCCCCACAGCCGTTTCGGTAGGACGAGCTGTACTTGGTGGTTGTGCTATTTGACCATCATAGAAAAGCCAAGGAGCAATGGGCGGCTGAATGTCCTTTCTTCAGTCTCAAGACAGGTGTGTGGAAACAGTGAACCGTCTGTCAGCTTCACTGCCAGCAGAGGAAAAGTACTTTGTTTTTAAAATGAGCATTGCCCTTCACAAATGTGCATGCTGTGTGTGTGATGTGTGGTGTGTTGTGTGCGGTGTGGTGTGAGTGTGCTGTGGTATGTGTGAGGAGTGTGTCTGTGGTCTGTGTGTGTGTGCTGTGTGCGGTGTGAGTGTGGTGTGTTGTATGTGGTATGTAGTGTGTGGTGTGTTGTGTGTGGTGTGGTGTGTGGTGTGAGTATGCTGTGGTATGTGTGAGGAGTGTGTCTGTGGTCTGTGTGTGTGCTGTGTGTGGTGTGAGTGTGGTGCGTGATGTGGTGTGCTGTTGTGTGAGGGGGGTGTGGTATGTGTGAGGAGTGTGTCTGTGGTCTGTGTGTGTGCTATGTGCGGTGTGAGTGTGGTGTGTTGTATGTGGTATGTTGTGTGTGGTGTGTTGTGAGTGTAGTGTGTGGTGTGTTGTGTGTGGTGCATTGTGTGTGGTGTGGTGTGAGTGTGTTGTGGTATGTGTGAGGAGTGTGTCTGTGGTCTGTGTGTGTGCTGTGTGTGGTGTGAGTGTGGTGCGTGATGTGGTGTTGGTGTTGTGTGAGGGGGTGTGGTATGTGTGAGGAGTGTGTCTGTGGTCTGTGTGTGTGCTATGTGCGGTGTGAGTGTGGTGTGTTGTATGTGGTATGTTGTGTGTGGTGTGTTGTGAGTATAGTGTGTGGTGCATTGTGTGTGATGTGGTGTGTGGTATGAGTGTGCTGTGGTATGTGTGAGGAGTGTGTCTGTGGTCTGTGTGTGTGCTGTGTGTGGTGTGAGTNGCAACATCTTGTTAAAATAACAGAGGGAAAATGACTTAAATTCAAGCAGAAGAGTACTTAGGTCTTCCTGTCTCAAGGAGAAATGATCTCACATGCTTTTTTTTTTAAGTCAGTTCCGTGTGTTTAATGCAGATCTTACAGGGCACGATGTTGCAGGTGCCTGCAGATGCCTTTCCTGTGCACGGTGCCTCTGAAGACTGTGACTGCTGACTCTCCTTTATTTTCACAGGCCCCATCATCACCTTCCTCGCCCATAGCTAATGAACCAAAATACGAGAAGCGCTGGCTCGACACCCTGTCAGTTCCTCTGTCCATGGCTCGCATCTCAAGGTACAAAGCTGGAACAGAAAAGTCAAGGTGTGTGCCCTTGTCTGCACGGGAAATGTGATGACCCCGTGCCCTGTGTGCGTCCTTAATAGTCCCTCATCTGCTTCAGTGTGTCTGTCTGTGCCATTAGCAAGTGCAGGTGCTATCTTCTGTAGAGTTAGCATCCAGAAGAAAAGCTGAGAATCAAGGGGAGATGAGAAAACAGCCATCAGAACCACCGCTGATTTGTTACGAGGAACAGTTCTGTGTAGCTTGCAAGGTGACCATTGCTAGTGCTCATGAGATATGAGATTCNAGGACGAGCTGTACTTGGTGGTTGTGCTATTTGACCATCATAGAAAAGCCAAGGAGCAATGAGCGGCTGAATGTCCTTTCTTCAGTCTCAAGACAGGTGTGTGGAAACAGTGAACCGTCTGTCAGCTTCACTGCCAGCAGAGGAAAAGTACGTTGTTTTTAAAATGAGCATTGCCCTTCACAAATGTGCATGCTGTGTGTGTGATGTGTGGTGTGTTGTGTGCGGTGTGGTGTGAGTGTGCTGTGGTATGTGTGAGGAGTGTGTCTGTGGTCTGTGTGTGTGTGCTGTGTGCGGTGTGAGTGTGGTGTGTTGTATGTGGTATGTAGTGTGTGGTGTGTTGTGAGTGTAGTGTGTGGTGTGTTGTGTGTGGTGTGGTGTGTGGTGTGAGTGTGTTGTGGTATGTGTGAGGAGTGTGTCTGTGGTCTGTGTGTGTGCTGTGTGTGGTGTGAGTGTGGTGCGTGATGTGGTGTGGTGTTGTGTGAGGGGGTGTGGTATGTGTGAGGAGTGTGTCTGTGGTCTGTGTGTGTGCTGTGTGTGGTGTGAGTGTGGTGTGTTGTATGTGGTGTGTTGTGTGTGGTGTGTTGTGAGTGTAGTGTCTGGTGTGTTGTGTGTGGTGCATTGTGTGTGGTGTGGTGTGTGGTGTGAGTGTGTTGTGGTATGTGTGAGGAGTGTGTCTGTGGTCTGTGTGTGTGCTGTGTATGGTGTGAGTGTGGTGCGAGTGTGGTCAGTGATGTGGTGTGGTGTTGTGTGAGGGAGGTGTGGTGTTTCTTTTTTTGTGTGTGGTTGGTTTATTTAGGAACCAGTAGGGACTTGGGCTGGTATCTGCCTCGACAAAGAAGGAAATATTGTGTTTTCTGACACTGTCTTTTAGTATATTTGAATTTGGTGGTTTCTTATAAAAACAGAGCCACTGAACTTCCTTAGACACTAGCCCATCCACCATAGAATGCAATGAACAGAAGACGCAGGGTCCCAGCCTCAGGATGAATGGGGAATGCAGGACACAAGACGGAATGCCTCTCACTCTGAGGACTTCAGTAGCTATTAACTAAATGCAGATTTCACCACTCATTTTGGCTGCTTGAGAACGATAGAGACACATTTCTTATTCTTGTCAGCAGAAGATTCCCACCCCCCAAGCCATCCGTACCGCTGTCATGGGGTAAATGTCCCATGTCTATGAGAATGGAACAGAACCCAAGAAAACACCAACGCATGGGTCCCCCACGCCGTCTCTTTTTTTCTTGTTAGAAAGGCTATCCCACCCTAACAGCAAATTGAAAGCTCT